TATGTATTACAGTCTTAGTGTCCTAATTACATGGCATCTTCCTAAGTGTCCAGCTGCTACAGCCTCCCGTGATCTTTCCTATTTTCCTTACTTGTAGAGCTTCTTGTCTCCTTCATCTTTAGATTAAACACCTAGAGATACACTCATTAAGTTTACACTCAAATTTTGATCGTCTAAACTATTTGTTACAGGACATCGAAGGTGTGATATTTCTTAAGTTATACACCGCCAAGTCTTAGGGATTTTATTGCGATTACTGTTACATTGTGGTAGAAGCTGTTTCTAGGATCTCGATTATTTACTAATTACATTTCGGCTCATTTTGTTTACTTTGTCGGAAGGCGGATTTCATGCTTTTCCGACGAAGTCTTCTTTTATAAATGCTTTTGTCCCACTATTCATTGGTCCTATTTCCTTAAACATTTTGAATAGCAAGGACTACATGCCAAATTAAAACGATGCAAATACCTCTATTTTTTATCTCAGCTTTGTCAGACTGGCCGGCTCACGATGCAGATTCTTCCTTCTCTTCTCTTACCTCTCTCAATTTTCGTCGCATATGGTCTAATGCGCGCCAGACATTTTTACCATCTCCCTCGAATTCTCAAAGATCTATCGCTCATTTAACAGTATCGCCATCGCTTGAAGAAACGGGTCATCTTGTCAATGGATCGTCTTCACCTACTCTGCCAAATGGTCCTTTGCCTGACCACTCTGGGATTCAAAATTTACCTGAAACATGCGACTCATCACCGAGCTTTGTCGTCGCTTTGCTTAGTCTTTCGGGTCTTGTAGAAGGATGTCAAAGTACGTTTATTCGTTCTAATGTGTAATGCCTGTGTGTTAATGTTTACCCTCATATTTATTGTATGGTCCATGTATACATATGTTAATGCGGCAAGTTATCTTTTGATATTAATAAAGTTTATTATACTTGCTGTTTACTGATTTTAACACCTTTTTCGACATCGTTTCGACGTAATTCTAATTGATTTTATTGCTTATTCTTAGATTCCATCGCTACTAATCTGTATTAGCACTGAGCTTTGGGGTTTTAATCTCATTTTCAAAGAATAGGGCTTGCTAAAAGCCTATTCAACTCAGATTTGATGGGGTATTTCATATAAGTGCTTCGCAATAATTCCTTTAGCCTGTCAAATAGCACATTTTAAAATGCTCTCCCACGTTGGTGGTGAGCAGTTCTATTTATGGCTAATATATGAAATATGCCCCTTGTCGATAGGCCGTTATTGGACCGAATAACAAAAATCCTTGATCCTTTGTAATAACAATTTTTCCCGGAATGTAAATGTTGGTGGGGTCCGGGTTTTTTTACCTGCACCAGATGCTTGTACCATGAAAGTCAAAAAAGGAAAGTGGCTATTTATCAACTAATGACTTTATAGATGCGGATAATCTGTTTTTAAAGTCTTCTTAGGAAGCTCCTGGAATTCTTTGCATTTTCCTTACTCTTAATAATAGTGTTCTAGCATAACCTTTCCTTCATATTCCTGGTCGCAATTCACCAATATTATTTCTTATGGAATTGTACTTGAAATGAGCCTTTAGCTAACCATTATAATGACGCACTCTTAAAGCATTCACATGCGACACTTTTTCTTAAT